AGACAAATTATCATGCAGTCACACATACATATATATGCCGATAACATGAGTTGACGTTTCATACACAATGCAATCCTCAGGTGCTCAGTATAGACTGACTGTTACGTAATTTAAATTTTAATAAAAATATCTGATTATTGCAATGTTGGCACAGTTATATATTAAAATGGAATTACAGTTTTTTAATTTTAAAAATATATTTGGCATTTAAAATAAACTTGATTTGTGCATGTGTGTATATATATATATATATATATATATATATATAGTGTGTGCGTGCATGTGTAATAAAAAATAAGAGTTGTGAATATTGAATTTTATATTAAGCATAAAGGGAGATCACGTGTTCTTTTTCAAAACAACAAACCATAATTTACATTAAAAATTAATCTGGATCAACGTATTTAAACAAACATTTATTTTTATGCCTACATATGACCATCAATTCATTTCTCCTGTTTAATAAGTTAGGGTTATTTAAGTATTTTAAGATAACTAATTTTTCAACAAGACATTAATTACATCTATTGCTTTTCCCACTGTAAGATTTGGCTCTTGCTATAATATCCCATGTGATAAAAGATGTATTAGCACCATTCTTTAATTGCCAGAAATATTTAGAGAGAGCCGTGCTGTTTTTATATTTTATATTGCCTAAAGTCATTTTATTTATATATATATATATATATATTGAATAATAAAAAATATTAAAAAATTAAAATCTTCAGATACACTGGGTTGTAGATTAATATTCTTTTGTTTTTATTATTATTATTTCATTTAGATTCCTCGACTAGTTTCGGCCAACATGGCCATCATCAGGAGAAAAAATATTTCTGCTTGCTGGTAGCAGTGAACTACAGAAATGAATGTCTTGATGGAGAAAATGAACTTTTGTCTGTAGTTTTCATTTGTTTTTTTATTTTTTTAATTTTTTAACATGAATCTTTTAACATTCCTTGTGTTGGTCAAACAGTCTCTTTTAAGTTGTTATTTGAGATAAGAACTGGATGGATCCATGCTGCTCTGAATTCCCCTGGTCAGTTTGACAGTTTTATTGGTTCCTGGAGAGGGATGTGTCTCTTAGTGTTTGTTTTTGGTTCTTAGGGTGTTTGTGTGTGTGTTATTTGGTTCTTAGGGGTATTAGAGTGAGTATGATATATGTATGTGTATATTCGTGTGGGTGTGTGTATATAATGTGAGGCCTCCACATCCTGTGTAAGCCTGTCTGTCTTGTGTGGGTGAGAAATGTGGGTAGGTTTTGATTTGTTGAGTTATATATTAATACTATCTATATTGTTAAATTTATGGTTTTGGCCATTTTTAGACGTTGTATCCACTTATTTTCATGGAACTCTAAAATCTTTCTAATGTTATCTGCTCTGAACTTTTCTATTCTCTCAATTATAGTGAATTTGGCATGGGTTTTCAAATTGTGTTTTTCTAGGCGGAAATGTTGTTCTACAGGTAATAATTTTTCATGGGGAGTTGACTTAATTTGATTACAATAATTATTAATTCTGTAGTGAAAGGGCCATTCAGATTTTCATACATATCGTTTCTGGTATAGTGTGCATTCTAGGAGGTAAATTATGTTATGACTTCTACAGTTAAAATCGTGGTAGATTTTGAAAGTAGATTTAGTGACTGAGCTAGTGAATGCATTCATGTGTCTAATGTTGTTGCAACATAAACTTCTTCTAAAGTTATCTCACCTGCAAAAAAATTTTGAATATTTACTTACTTTTATAATGACAAAAATTTAAAACTTAGTTGAGATTTCTAGGTTTTCATCATAATTTAAATAAAACCTATTTTATTTGTATAACTTGTTTACACATTATAAATCTTCACTTCCCACTTTTTGAAAAACACAGTCTCTAAAACTTTATTGTCTTGTAATCTCATGAATAGGTTATTTAATCTTCTTTCTCTCTCTATCTATCTATCTATCTATATATATATATATATATATATATATATATAATGATGACAAACAAACACTTAAAAAAGCCATAGGTGATATATTATTTCATGGAAGTTGATAAAACATGGCTTCAAATTTTCAGACCTGTAAACTAAATGAAAATGGAAAAATTTACTCTAGGTTTAAAAACTAAGAATAGTGATTTCATATAGAGAGTAAGGAAATAAATTATCTATTAAATTATCATCGTATATATATATATATAAAATGGCATTTTCATCTCAGTTGTATTAACACCTATGATGACCTAAATTGACATCCGGATTGTAGACAAAATTTTTTACATGAAATTGGCAATTGAGAATACATTTGAAAAAAGATTTTAAGTGTAGATTTGAAAATCTGTCAGGATCCTTCCTTAGTTAAAATTTTGACACATATGTATTCAACTTAAAAAACCTGTTATAATTTATATTAAAAATATTAGTTGGCTAAGAACATTAAAAAATTATTCAAAAATATTCAGAACCTAGCTAAAGATTTCAATTTAACCATAAAAATGATCTTTTCAAAATAAAAAATATAAAACATATATATATATCCAAATGTAAAAGAATGAAAAGAATATAAATTCAAATGTTTATAACATTAATTTTAAAAATGCTCAGTACAAGAGTAGAGCAATAGATATTTATTATAAACCGTTACATTGGGACATGCAAGTTACTACAACAAAAATGCATATTTGTTTTGACATCTAAAGACTTCTCATCAGGTGTTAACAATGGTGGTAATAAATGATTTTATTTAAACATACAGTTCATGTAACATCACTTGTTCTTACATTTTTGAAAATTTTCTGTAGAAGGCAAAGAAACAAATATATAAAAAAAAAAGTTATTCTTTCCATAAAAGGAAAAGAAAGAAAAAAGCAGATTAAAGTAAAAAAGAAAGAAAATAAATCAATAAAAAGAAAGAGAAAAGAAAAGCATAAAAAATCAACTCTACTACCAAGAGAAGGAAAAGAAGAGAGGAAAAAGGAGAGGTGTATATCCAAGTTTTACAGATGCAAAAGAAAAGGAAAGAGAAGAAAATAAGTTGATGATACCAGTTTTAGCCAATGAAGACATGTTAAGATGGAGAATTCAAAATTGAACGGGAATATAACGTGACAAGATAGAAACATTTCAGATACATTGTAACATTTCAAACTTTATGGCATTTTGAATGAAATAACATATTTAAACAAAATCAAACATAGTATTTAAATAAGATACTTTAAGAAGAAAAGCCATATACAAACAAAACAACTACTTAACTATACCAACCTTACATTTTAAATTAGAATACAAAATAAATTTTAATTATTTATATGACTTTTATATATTTATTTTAAATTAAAAACTATTCCCAAACACCATCACCAGTATAATAATTATAAGCCAATTCATGGCTAAACTTACTACCAATAATTTACGAATACAAATCTATTTAATACCTTAATCTAGAGTAAACCACTAAGGATAACATTAAAATATTTATATAAAGGTAATATAACATTAGAAGAGTGATTATTGAGTTATAAAGTTTAGCAAGATTGTATGGTTTCATTTAATCATATCATATTTAATAATTGATTGCTATTCAAGAGTTTAATTATCTGCATTTTCTCCTATAGACAAAGAAAACATGGTTCCATCATGGATCTACAAATTCTGGCTTGTTTGAGAATTTTCCATTTAACTGGGTGTTTTGTTTATTATTATAATTAGTTCACTTTTATATTGGGAGAGATAGTTGTCGTGGTATTACAGTAGTATTATAATATGAATGTTTTAATATTATTTATACTTAATACTGTTATCTTGGATAGATATAAAATTTAATATTTAAATATTAAATTGATGATTATATTAATGTTTTCACTTATTTTTCTGTAGATAATCATTAATTTTAAATTTCTATCTTTAAAGCTAGGAATTTATGGTAATAGAGTAAATGCTAATTTGAAATTTCTTTGCATCTTTTTTTGTCTTAAATAATTATTTTTGTATTAGATTTGACTACAAGAATTACATACACACATATATAATTTTATTAAAACTAACTGATAAAGTACTGTGGTTAAGTTTTTTATTTAATTTTTCTTGTGTGATAATTTTCTTCTTTTCAAGATGTAAATTATGTAGAAATTGTCCAAATGTTTTGTATGTCCGAGCACTTTCTATAACTGTACATAAAACAATCCATACATTCAGTTAAGTCAAAATAACATCATCCTTGATAATGGCTAAAAGTATAGCTGAAAATGCTCAGACATACAAAACATTCAGAAAATTTCTACAGAATTTACATCCTAAAAAGAATAAATTATAAGAACACAATTAAATAAAAAACCTTTTGTTTTGTAATTACATTTTATAGTCTTAGAACTGAAAATGACTTGACCCTCATATGTTGAATTCAAAATAACTTGTATAGAGTTGAGTATATATAAATATATATATATATATATATAGGCAGCAACCTATCTTTCACGGCTGACAAGATAGATTTAATTAATCTATTATTGAATTTTTCAAGCATTCTAACATTTTTCCATTTTTCAAGGGTTAAAGAATATAAAAATTGTCAATAGTTGTTATTATTCCAAACATTTTCAGCTGGTTCTATAGCCATTATCAAGGATGTTGTTTTGGTATAGTGAGTTTCATGTGTTGTAGAAGACAGCACATAAAACTTGATATTTATTATTTTTGTGTAATATATGTATATGATTCAAATTCACAAATGCACTACAAAAGTCTTACTGTAACTGGCTCTTCAGGCTGCCCAAGAATAATCATTAAATATATTACTATTATTCTCAAGCAGCCTTAGTCTGCAGAACTGGTTATGCTGAAACTTTACTAGCTGATTTGTGAGTTTGAATCATTTTTAATTTTTATCTTATTAATATTTTATCATGCACAGTAATTTAATTTATATTACTTTGAGTACTTTCTTAGCTTGCAAAATTGATTGTGTTATATATATATTATTAATATTATTATTATTATTATTCAATTTTTAGACTCAATGGTTACAAGTAAGTGTGTTTTGCCAGACAGTCTTCTAAGGTGACAATGCCTTTATTTTACTCGGTAATAGCCCGGGGCTCCACAGTTCTTGCCCGCTATGCTATGTGTGCAGGAAACTTTACAGAAGTCACAGAACAGATCCTAACACGTATTCCTCCTGAAGATGGTAAACTAACTTATTCTCATGGGAAGTAAGTCAGCAATTTTACTTTTTCTCATTTTTGTCTCCTGTTTAAATTGAAACATTTTAGTTGTACTGTTTAAGTTCTTTGAATTTTTCTTGATATCAAATATCTTGGTGATATTAATTTCAAATCAGTCCACATTATTATTATCAAGTCCAGTTTAAGGATTTGAGTCAATGTATTACACTTTAGCACTTTTTACAGTTTCCATGACAATTGCAATTTTTAATGTTTTTTTCATTCGAATGTCCATATATCACTCAAAATTCAATATAATTAACTCCTCTATTTATGCCTTCCAATCCTCAATATTTCAATTTCTTATTAACTATTATACAATTTTACACCTTAATACCTTATGACTTAGCACATTATACACATTATATTAGTATTGTAACTACAGCCTTATTTTCTCTTCTATTTTCAAAGTATAATCTATTTTGTCTTTATTTTAGTTATTATTATTATTATTATTATGAAAATGGATGTGTGCCTAGTGAAGTGCTCATTACTGTGGAAAGTGCAAATGGTATGCCAAAGTCAAATTCCAAACAAGGCTGTTTCATACACTTTCACACAAATACCCTTGGAAAGATATGATCCATCTCTTCCTTGTTCAGGGTTAGGGAGTAATAGTAGGGTAGACTGAATTCTCTAGCTTCAGGTGGCAACTACTCTAGAAAGAAAAATTGAATTCAAAACCAATCTGAAGAGGAATGTGCTCTGTCAGACTATCTTGCCCTAGACACATCTACTGCTGCCATAACTGTGCCTCTATGATTCTAATAGATTATGGGACTCAACATCAACATTATGATAAAAGTTATAACAATATTTATTATAAATTTTATTAGTTTTTGATTACTTCCCCCTTTTAAGTCAATTTTTGGTCTTTGATAAATTTATTGATGTTTATTTAGTACCGGTGTATAATTTTGTCATGAACAAATCATAACAAAATTTCAAAAGAAAATGATTATATTTTCTCAGTAGAAAGTTTTATTTTCGAAACACTAAATGACCTACTTCCATTTTCGGAAATAGATGTTTGTGTATCTACTGAAGATGAGACCTGTTCACAACAGAACTTGGCTATCTGTTGTAAATGGAAGCAATAAAAAGGAGGGATTATTTTTTTTAGGTCTCTTAAAAAAGACTAACAATAAAGTAGCTGGATTGGATACAGATAAAAGGTAGCAATTATAAGTCAGTGTTATATATACAGTATTATTAATGTTTATTACTTACAAAATGCAGTATAGAAGCACATATCTAACATTTTACTTTCTCTTTTATTTCTCAGTTACTTATTCCATTATGTATCTGAGGATCACATCATTTATCTATGTATCACAGATGATGTAAGTAATTCTATTTTATTGTTTGTCCATTTTAATTAATTTTATTTTTTTTGTTACAAATCTTTTACAAATATTGTATGTTAGGATTTGCTTCAATTTATGAGATTTTCATTATTTTTCTCTTCATTTGAATATCTTTTTTCTCTTTTTATCTATAAACATCAAAGACTTTTTTCCTTTTTATAGGAATTTGAAAGAGCTAAAGCTTTTATGTTCCTGAATGATATTAAAAAAAAGTAAGTCATTTATTTCTTGCTTTAAATAAGTTGTCATTTTGACTTTTATAATTAAAAAAAATATTTAAATATTTACATAACTTTAATCTAGATTTTTTTCTTGTTTTAGAACTAATGTACATATTAGTTAATAATCTCTCTTTCACTTTTACCTCTCATATATATACATTTTTTTTAATTATTATATATTTATCCCCTATTTACTTTATTATTTAAAATTTTTTGACTGACTGTGATAGTCAAAATAATATTACATGGACTTAGTTAAAGTATTCTTGTCTGATAGACCAAAATTTACTGCCATTCTGGTTGTAGCATAAATCCATAAGATATACTACCTGACCTTTTTCTTTCAAAGTGAGTTTTTATTTTAACTTTTAAAAAATGAATTTGTGATCACATACCAATTTGTAATTGGTATAAATAACTTTAATCACTCTATACTGTAATACTTCAGTTAGGATCACAGATGATGAGGTAATGACAAAATGTTCTGATATTTTTGTTAAAATTATTTCCATTTCAGATTTCAAGTACAATATGGACAAAGAGCTCGTACGGCATTGCCTTATGCCATGAATAGTGAATTCTCTCGAGCTCTGAGTCTTCAAATGGTAAGTTTTAATAAAACTCTTTAATTAAATAATTTTTAATTAAATGCCATGTTGTATAATTTTAAATGAAAATTCTCTTCTCACTGATATAATATTTTCCTCCAACAACTCTTTTCAAAAAACACTAATCAAATCCAGAATAATAAACATGGTTAGCATTAAAGTCTATAAATGAAAACTTAAACATTTTATCCAATATTACATTAAATCAGATGCTGAAATTTTCTTGCCAACTTGGCTTACCTTACTAGGTAAGAGGAAATGTATTAAAAGGATGAAAGACTAGAGCAGAGGCTGTATTGGCATGAATCTACTATTCCTACACTTTAATGCTGTCTGGTGATATGAGGTACTGCTGCTGTGCACTAGATTAGCCTTGGTAAGGATACTCTGGTGCTGAAATTATACCTAACTCGAGTGGCATCATTTGATGACAGGTTTATTGATGACACTGTTGCTCTTTTCACTGCTGTAGTTGAAAGAATTTATTAACTGATGAACAAACAAATTTAGTATCTTTTCACAAGTTTTGTTTGGAATAGTGATCATTCTTTTTAGTTAGTCTTTAAATTCTAGGCTATCCAGTTGTCTATCATTCTGAAATCCATACTTTTGAATTTTATTTCATTTAAACAAAAGGACTTTCTTGCTATATTAATCATGTGTAATTACAGAAAATTGTCACTAATTTAAATAGACAAAATATTTGTTGATTTGCTTTATTTAGTTCAAACATCTGTGAATTGTTAGAATGGATAATGATTTTGAAATTAACTGTATAACAGAATTATAATCATGGTTGAACTTCTCATTGAACAAAACAACAAAAAAAATTGAATTTTCTTTCAGTATAGAACACTGTAATTTCTATATATCAACTATTTTGGATCACTGCAGTAGAAAATGGCTAACAAGCTAAATTCACAAATCATTTGTATCATCAGTTTGATCTTTACTCTACTCATTATTAGTTTTATACCAGAATAAACTATGTTTCTAATTCAATAGTCATCTTAAATCTTATGATTCATCTTTAATTCTAATATAATTTTAACCAATGCTTTTAATTTGTGTTTCTTATAGAGATATTATTCAGATGTGAAAAACAATGACCAACTCCTTAAAGTTGAAGAACATGTAGATGAATTGATGGAAATTCTTGTCAGAGATATTGGTAAGTGTTTTTTTTTATCCTCTTCTAATTACTTTAAGAGCAACCTCTTTTCTGTGCTGTATCACTTCAGGATGTGAGTAATCATGGCTCTCTCCAACCTCCTATCCTTCATAACTCTTAGCAATGTTTCCTTATTATCCCTTCCAGCTCCCTGTTCTCTCATCCATTTACACAAACTTCTTAAGTAGGTTACTCCCTCTTTTCCTCTTGCCTTCAATCTGGCCTGTAAGTTTCAAATTTTCCAAGCCCTCTTTCCTTATGTTTCAGAAATTTCAAGTGTTTCTGATTTTAACTACAAGTATCGTATGTATTCTGATTTTCCTTAAAACCTCCTCATTGCTCACGTGCACTGTCCATGGTATTCTCATTATTGTTCTGTAGAACTACCCATCTGTTGCCTCGAGTCTCTTCTTCATCTGTGTGGAAATTGTCCAGCATTCACTAACATATGGGAAGATTGATATTGCATAGCTGTTCAGCAGCCATTTCTTTGTTTCTATCAAAATTTTCCAGTTTAATTCTTTGCTTAGCTTTTAGAAAGCATATTTTGCTATTCCAATGCATTTTAGGATTTCTGTGCCATATTTTCAATTGTCTGTGATTACACTCTCCCAAATCATGGAATTCTCTGTACTTGCTTGATTTTGACATCTCCACTTTATAGGTCTCGTCTTGCAATGTTTCTCTTGCAAATGACCATATGCTCCATCTTCTTACAATTTATGGTTAGTGCTTTCTTCCCACTTTCCTTTTCTACCTTGTCTAAGATTTTCTGCAGTCCTCTCTCTCTCTCTCTCTCTCTCTCTCTATCTCTGAGGATGCCATCAACATGCTGTCATTTGTGTATCTTATGTCAATATATTACACTGTTCCTAAGCAGAAGTGGAAATATACAGATATCATTTTGATCTTAATATTGATTCATCTTTTCAGGATATTTAATACTCTGGTCAGTTTACCATGATGGCCCCCATCATATGTATGGATAAGAACAAAAATTGCTTAGTTCTTGTGACCAGTGTAAATGTCACTGTTCTAATTCTTCCCTTTTTGTGCAATGGGACCAGTTTTGATATTTTGCCTGAAGCTTAGAACATTGCTTAATGGATTATTTTTAATCATATTTTCCTCCAAACATTGTTTTTTTTGTTTTTTTTTTTTTAATTAAAACTTTACAGCCACCTTTTTACTCACATTATTAAAGGAAAACATTAGCTTGGTCTTAAGACTAGATATATCAGTTTTATAACTCTTGGAATTTTCTCTTTTGTGTGAGCAAACTAATTACTTGCCGTTTGAAGTGGGGGATCTCCAAATTCTAATTTGTTATTCAATATTTGGAATTATTATACTAGAACAACAGATTCTTCTGAATGCAACTTGTTTTTCGTCTTAATAACTGTCAAGATATTTGTTTTGCATGTGAAAGCAACATGTAACACAAGGCTTTGTTGAAGGTAAGTGCAAAATAAAAAAACAAAAACAAAAAACTTTGATGCACGTTATTTTCATCATTTATTCAGTAAACACTTTTGCACTCTGCTGTGCTTACCATTCTCCTATAATTCTGGTTCATGGTGACATTCAAGGTAAAATAGTGCAATGGCTTGCTGGTTCCTTTTTGCACTGGGGATGTTGAAGTTACTCTGTCCCTACTCTCAGAAGTTCTTCCACCCTCTGGTAAAGCCATTGACCTCTGAGATGCAGTTCCTATACTCAAGCTTGCTGATGCTTGCTTGTTACAGGTGGGTTGAGGAGAGGTGTTCCCCATTACTAGTTGGGTGGAGAAACTCTTTCAACTATCCTTTACACAGTTTAGCCGGCAGTTTGATGTTATACCCATGCAACTTCTTGGAGTCATGAGTGAGAGTTGGATATAGGCCGTGGACAAGTACAGTTCTACATCTCAATTCATCTGAGTAAAGCAGGGACGACTTCTTCACTGCAAAGGTTCTACCATTGACAATACACCCTTGATGTTGATATCAGGGCATGTACCAGACTCTACATCTTAGTGCAATGAAAAGGTGCTGTTTTAGAAATGGATTCCTAATGTTTGTTAAAATGTGGTAAAACTTTTTCAAAACTTGTTTTCTTGTAGCTGTATTACTACATTTGAATTTTTCTATAAAAAATGATATTTTCATTTTGTTTTTGAAATACCAAATTTCATGAAACTATAGATTTGACAAATATTTTTTCTCTTAACAAATTTAAATGTTTATTTTCAGACCAAATAGCAGATAGAGGTGAAAGATTAGAACTTTTAGTTGATAAAGCACAGGACCTTAGTGTAAATGTAAGTAAACTAATTTTTTTGTATATATTTTAATTGTGAACATGAATTTGATTCTTGTAAGTATAAAGATGATCTATTCTTTATTTCATTGGCAAATAATTTAATGCAACCAACATTTATAAGCTATAAATGTCTTGCTACATCAATATAATTCTAGTTAACGGCAAGTAATTTGTAAAATCTCAAGTAATTTGAAACTGACAAGATGTGTATGATATGGTGGTTCCCAACTCATGTCTGAGTAATAGCCATTACTACATGTTTTTGGAGAATATCTACTGATATGCTGAACGAATGTGGCTCTTCAGCCCAGCAAGGGACTTACATACTCTGGCACAAACAGGGCACTTAAGAGGTCCAACAGCCGGTGTTACATTATCATACAATTTAAAATGTTGCATAAAACCACTTCTGAACCTGCATGTCTTCCTGCAAATATCACATTTCAGTTGCTGGATGTCTACAGTTTATAATCAATTGCCATCTTCTGTCAGTGTGCTCTCAAAGGACTCCTTAGACCAGCCATCAACAAACACACTCTACCACAATCTGTACATGTCAGATTGAGCTGCCTGCAGGTGTGTATGATATAACACCCAGGTAATCTTACATAAAGGTACCATGGTTAACCATTTAATGATTTGGATCCTCATTTCTAAGTAATCTTTGAAATGTATTTTTGTGTTAAGGTTAACTTAGTTCAATAAATTCTTATTCATTACACAAAGAATTGCAAGATACCAAATAACTCTACACTTTTTAATCTCTTGGAAACTAATCTAAATTTTTTTTAAAAATCTGACTAAACGAATAAATATGCCATATTCTATCACATTTGACAACCACACTTTCTTGGTCTCCATCGCCCCTCTCTCTCTATTGACACACTTTCAGTTTCTGTCCCCTCACTCTATATTATTAGACTCTACCCCTCTCACTGTCTGTCTATTTATCTGTTTGTGCATGCATCTCCTTGCCTCTCACTGTGCATGCATATGTGTCCATGTTCTGTCTGTGTATACCTCTCTTTCTCTGCATACACATGTCTCTTGCTATCTTTCTTTGTTCATGCGCATGTTTCTCTCTGTGTGCATCTCTTTCTTTGTGATTGGAATGGATAAAGGTTCCCTTTTTTCACTTTGTGTTATATAACTGACAATTTGGCTATTAATGAAATAGATATAAGAATTGTTGAATGCATTTCTTAAGAGTGTTGTGTGTGTTTTCTACTGATAGACTCTTTCCCCAAATAAAAATCAGAAAATATTCCATTACTACTTGGATAGTAATCTTATATTAATGGTGGCTCAGGATTACTTTTAATCCATTGATCATTAATCTTTATTCATTTAACATAAGCTGACATGCCTTTTCAACTATAAAATACTTAAATATTATAAATACTTTTTGACCTCCTCATTTAGGATTTGTGGCAAAAAGATAAGGTGTAAAAAAAAACAAAACAAAAAAAAAAAAAAACAACAACAATTTCAGTGATTATAATGATTCTGATTTATAAAAATGAAAACATTTGTGAAGAACTTTAATCAGAATCAGGAATTTAAAAGATTTGTCATTTTGTGACAAAAAGTTGATCATTTTTGAAAGTTCAGAAATAAATAATTGCCTCATAATAAAAAAAGAATGTACTTTCTTACTTTTTCTATACTTTTTATATCAATTCAAGTGTGTAATATTATAATCAGGGTCTCTTCATGTCTACATGACAATATATATTAATATATTCATGTTTTTTTTAATAACCTAAAGAAATGATGCTAAGCTGATTTTGTTATTTCTTGTTAACTTTGATGTTCAAAATTTTAAATCCATTGTCAGTCATTATCTTCTGTCTTAATTCCTGTGCTTATGGCTATTTCACATTGAAAAACTGGTGATTGTATAAGAACGAGTTTTTCAATGTTAAGCAATATTGAGCTTGGTCAGTACCTAGATGGGTGACTACTTAGGAATACCAGTTCCTGTTAGCTTGGATGTACAGGAGTGTGATGGATAACTCTTTAAAACTGGAGTAGGATTCATTTAAGTGCAAATACCCTTGGAAAAAGTATGATTCCACCCTTTTCTCCTCCTAGCTATGGGTTAATTAGTAGGGATTTTATCACTAAATCATCATTATCTCCAAAAAAATGCTTACTATCCAAAACTATTTTCTGGCTTTAAATAACTGGCAACAGGTTGATAAGCTGTATAAAGAAAAAAATCAATCAATGTTGATAGAGGACAAATTGTTGGCCATAATGATGTCAAATTAATGTCAGGAGAGCTAAAGGAAAAATGTGTTTTTTTTTTATTGTTATTATTAGAACTTATTCAAAATGATGTAAACAGCAAAGAGGATTTTTGTTATAAGTTGTAGAAAGAAATAATGAAAAATTTATTTTTATTATTGTTTCTGAACTTCAGACAAAATTTGCCAATGAAAGATATTTAAACTATAAACAATTTGAATTAAACATGTTTAACAATGTATAAATACATTTCTTTTTTCATGGGCATTGTTAATTCTGTTTATTTTCTTTGTATCATAGGCTGTCTCATTTAAGAAGTCTAGTGTAAATCTTGCACGGTCACTCTGGTGGAAAAATTTGAAAATTTGTGTTATCATTGTGATAGTGGTGGTGGTAAGTCATAACAATTACTTAAAAAAAAACAATTACATTTTGTGACTTTTATAATGCTTTGTTTAAACTGAGCAGTGATAATTTCTTTGCCATTTTCTTCTAAGATTTCTATATAGATTAATATTTTTATATTCTATAAAAAATCTTTTTGAAATAATTTAATTTCTTTTTTCCTTTTTTAGTTGATCCTTTATGGTGTTGTTTCTGCAGCCTGTGGTGGTGCAAGCTGGCCATCCTGTACCAGTTAAGGAAACAGCTGCAAAAAGAAAAAAAACATGAAACTATCTTTCCTCTTAACTGTTTCATTTGATATCTTTCTCATATATACATAACTTTTTTTTTTTTTTCTAACTAAAGAAAAATTAAAGATCACTCTTATTTCAGTTGAGGAAATACTATAGCTTTAAAAGACTACCTAAAGTGGATATTTTTTCAAAAACTTTAAAACCAACCTTAATTTCTCATATTCCCTAACCTGTAAAATCATTTTTTCTATTTCAGCTGCTGCTGACTTATTAAAAAAAAAAAAAAACTTTCTTCAAAGTCAACTTCATTTTATATATTATCATTATTGTTATTATTAATAATAGATAAAAAGTAGAAATAACTTTATAACAATTATAAACTAACAAGTATTTTATAAAACTGTCACATATGCTACCAAATATTTACATATTGAAAAAGAAATGTATTTTTACAATAGTAATAAAACCAATAATATTAGCAATCATAGCTTTTATATTTTCACTAGCAATTATTATTGTATAATGTGAATCAATTGCAATCTGTAATAGAACATATTCTGTTATAATTTTCAAATTTATTTTTAAGATCTGTTACTTAGTGATTATAGTTCTTTACTTTTCTGTTGTCTTGTATTTGTGACAAAAGGTGTCAACTTGCTTCTAAATGAAAAATTAATGCCTGCATATAAACATTTACATACACAGCTTTTCATCTTGACTATGACTTAATAGTAAAACAAAGTAAAAATTGAAACTAATTTGGCTTAAAATATTAGTGAATGGTAATGGAATGACTGTATCATGGAACAATTGCCAACAAGCAAAATACAAATTGAATTTCTAACATTTCTTTTTTTTTTTTTTTTTTAATAAATTTAAAACTGAAAGTCACATGACCACTTTTTCTTACCAATATAAAATTAGCAGTAATTAGCTTGCTTTTCTTTTTCTTATACATAAGACTATGCTGTCAAATTTTAAATGAAGCATAATTGTTATATATAGAAAATTTCTGATTTTATTTAATGATTACTTAAACAAGATGTTGAAACTCATTAATACAAATCCAATTGACAAAATCTGAAAGTACAACTGATCTCTTCTACTTGTCTCATGTTTGAATTCTTTGAATGGAAAAATGGAAGAATTTATTTTTTAAAAATTAAAAAATCAGTGCATAAAAAAAAAAAAATAAGGTTATTCCAAATATAAAAAAAAATAACTAATAGCTTAAGTTAACTCTTAAAAAACATCTTTCAAGAAAACATAGGATTTTACTGTTTATTAGCATATTCAATGTTTTATAAATTTATCTGAATGCAGTTGGTAAGTTTCAGTCTATTTGTGTTTCATTTATTTTATTATAATCACTGAATTAAAATAAATAGAGGCAACAAACTTTCATGCTAATGCATCATGGTCTGATGATTGAGTTAGCATGAAACAGTCTGTCATCTCTGAGTGTTGACTTCAATGTTCACTTTTATATTTACATACACTATCTCTGATATTTAGCATACCGTAAAACTATATTTCTTCATTTTATATATATATATATATATATGTTTTTATTTATATCTGAAAGCTTATTCTCAGTCTACACAGGCCTTCCCCAAGGCTCTGCCTTGCTACTTAACCCATACTTGAGGAATGGTGAACAAATGGTTTCTTTCCTCTCCCAAGTGTGAAATGTATTCAATAGCCTTGACCAGAAATTTAGCTCTGTCTCTTCTGTTGTACTTTTTTTTTTTTTTTTTTTTTTGAAGACATTTTATATATTTGGTCTCTTTAAGCACTTGTTGGTCCTTCAGAAATTACTTAGTAACATGGTATTCTAGTTGAGATAAAAGATAAATAAAATGTATTAATCATATAAAACCTGAACACATAATCCTGTGTAATCATATGTGCCCCTACCTCTCACACACACACACACACACACACACAACATTAAGAGGAAGAAGATATGGATCAGTAAGAGTGAACTTGTAAAATCCATTGTTTACAACAGTCTTTTGCAGGTGTATAGCATAAACATAAAGCTGTAAAGTATGTGGGAGAATTATGTATGTTTAAAATGTCCGTTTTTGAAATTACAGACAGATATACTATTGCTTAAGTTCCAAGTGGGGTCTTCAATAAACAAATATTTATTTATTTTGATATTATGTAGATTTAATACAACTGTAAACAGTTTATTATGATTACAGTTGAGTAAATACTCCCATTATTTAGTTGGATGCTTAAAGCCACAAAGTGATAATTGTTGTAGAAGTGGCTCCAACATTTAACATTTTTTGGTTCAGTTATTGAAAAAAATATTTTTAATTGGACCAAATAGTTGTTTTAAAAAGTGGGTAAACAAAAATAATTTTCTAAATTTTTTTTATTTTTCCTCTCCATTTTTATTTAATAAATCTAAACTGTCAATATGTATTGATTAAATAATCCTGGGTGTGTGGGATTTTAAAAAATTTTTTTTTAAAAGATATTAAACCTTAAAACACGCAATCAGAGGATTATTTATTTTACCTAAACAGTTTGACTGTAGAAAAACTGAATGTGATACTTTGAAGCCAAGTTACATTCATGAATCACTCACTGAAAACTTGCAATATGTTAGCTATCACTTTCTAGCAGATTCTAAATAAGAGTATTTTTGTTGCACTAGGCCAGAAAGATCCACCCTCCTCCTCACAATAATTTGAGGCTTAAACTTGTAAAGCAATGTTTTTTTTGTGTAACAGGTGCTTCAGGTATTTCTAATTTGTCATCATCATTATTAACTACTCAAACTTTGGTCTTCCTATATTTGGGTAAACTCACCTGTGAAATCTATGATTTTTGAAAAAATAAAGTTACTTTCAAATTTGATATGAATTGTATAAGAATAAAGTATATATCTAATAACCCCTTTACCCAAAATAATTTGAACATGCTTTGCTAATTTTTACTTAACTTCTTGACTTTGCTCTATTACTATATAACCTGCTTGAGGAAAGTTAGAGGTTTCTACATTATTTTTTTTTTTAATTGGGTAATCATTTACTGATTTCTTTAAATTTGTCCAGCAAAAGGACAACAAAGATCTAACTTTTCAGTTAGAAAGGTTTTATCTTAAATGCCAATACATTACAAAATATCTTAAAATTGACTAAAAATGTTCATTCCCATTAAAGTGCTATGATCTGAAGCATTCTGAACTTTTAACTGAAAATATTTATATATAAAGTAGTAGCATTAGTTCTTGATCTACAGGTTTAAAAAAATTATTCCTTAACTCTGTTAATATATTACAAAACAAATTGATTTTGCTACAAGAAAAAAATTGTACAATGGTAACTTAGTCAACATAATATAATTCTATTGGTTATTACACAAATGATTATATTGGCATTTAAAAAGAATGGTGTGGATTAAAAAAAAAAATGTCAATGAATTCACAAAGGAATAATTTTTTTTTTTTTTTTTTTACAATTTCAATTTATGAACTGCAGCTTTTTTTGTATCCAGTTTTGAGAAATCAATAAATGTTATATTGACATGGATTTCTTTTTGATAAAATATATACAGCAGTACCAAATGCTGTAGAGAAATTTGAAAGACTGCATTAAATTGTTATAAAATGATCAGTTTGTAAATACTAACAATTTTGTAATGAATTGTAAATATGAAAAGGGGAAATGTTTAAAAATATATTGTATAGGATTTTTTTTTTTTTTTTTTTTTATTGAATAAAGATATACTTTTATCCATCTATTAAATCGAGTTTGTTTTATTTATTTATTCAAAATGTTTACTTTTGACTATCCTGAGTTTATGAAAGTTAGAATCCTTTAGAAAATTCGTTTACAAAACTAAAAATGCTTGTATTTTGCAATACATCTGTCCTCATTTAAGTTGAGAAAGAAAAAACTAGTCATTTTCTCACAACTTTACCATGACAGCTGCACATCAATTAACAATGTAGGAATCCCTCAATTAGTGTGGCTAATTTGTACATCAGTAACTAAAAAAATTTTCAATTATGGTTAAACTGAAAAATGTTTTACCACATTAATCAAGTATTATGTATGCACTAATTGAATTTTGATACATAAAAATTTTAGCACATTAATTGAGGGTGATTGTATACAAATTTTCTTTTAATTTTCAGTTATTTAGTAAACTTATTCTGGTATTTGATTGAAGTTGATAAGAATGAAAACTCAAGAGATTTTCAACATTGTCTTGCTATCCTAGCTGAAATTATATCCGTGAGGGAAGAGTATTGCAAGGTAATGAATGAGTGGGCTAAAATATGTAGCCTTTTGCTAAATTCTGAAACTATATTTCACTTTACTCATATTCCAGTGCCAATTTCAAATGAAGGTAACCAAAAAAAAAAAGATGTACAGCAAATTTGACATACCTTTAGTCCTCGAAGTAATCCCCAATAAGCATTCAGAACTTTTTGTCAACATGGCTACAGCTGTGCAATGCCCTGGCAGTAAAAATCTGGTGTCTTGGATGGAAAGAGGTCACTATTTGCTACATGTCTGCCTCATTTGCAAAAGCTTTCCCACAAAGGCAGTTGTCCAGAGAATGGAAAATGTGATAACCTGTTGGTGCATGGTCTAGGGATATGTTATGCCTGGCCATCTATGCCACATGAAGCCTGGTATTGTCATGAACAAACAATATACTTTTGTGATTAACAAATGCTGGCTCCTGCAGTGAGTACAGGTTCACAGTGATGGTTTAGCCTGTTGGTAGCAGCTTATAATGCACTGCTTGTTGACTAGTCCACCAGATACAGAGTATGATCTTGTATGGGTGTAGTAGTGGTCTTGTGGTGTGAGGCATAGGGTCCTGTGGTGACAACCAATGTCTGGCGTGCTTGGGAGTGTTATACTGGACCCACTTTGTGAGCACTCAACCAAAAATGGGTACATTGTGGTTCCAAGAAAGAGGCTGTCACTCATTTGCTTCTGATAGTATGTGGGGTATAGACTTGCTCAATT